CCGGGCTGAGAAGGCCAGGCAAAGGAGCCCTGCCAGCGCCTGTCCTGCTCTCTGCCCTTTGCCCAGCTCCTGCAAGCCCCACCAAAAGGCTCTCTCTCCCCTGCCTGCTGCCTGCTGCCTGCTGCCTGCTGCCTGCTGCCTGCTGCCTGCTGCCTGCTGCCTGCTGCCTGCTGCCTGCTGCCTGCTGCCTGCTGCCTGCTGCCTGCTGCCTGCTGCCTGCTGCCTGCTGCCTGCTGCCTGCTGCCTGCCTCCTCCCTCTCCCAACACTGCCCACCCTCACCTCGCCTGGGCAGCTCAGGACCAGCACTTGCCCTCCCACAGCTGACAGGCACCCGCCCCCAGGGGCCTTCCCGACTTGGGACAAGGAGGGAGGGAGACAGGACTTGGATGCAGGAAACCTTTATTGTGCCCAGAGGGGCAGGAGAGGCTGTCAGAGAGATGGTGGGCAAGACCCAGAGAGCCTGGTTGCCCCGTGTTGGAGGAGGCAGCGGGATCTTCTCCAGAGCATTGCTTCTCGCTCCCGCTGCCCCCCTGGAGTGGTGGCATTCCAGATGGCAAGGCCTTGGCCCTGCAGCCTGGCAGAGCCTTTTGGCTCCGCCTCCTGCCCCGTCCCACAGCTGGCAAGAGAGGGCAGGGGAGGAGAGCAGAGGGCAGGAGAAGAGGGCCGGGAAGCGCCGAGCGCGTTGGACGCTGGCAGCTGCCCAGGCGTCGGCTGGGGCTGGGGATGCTCAGCACTCCTCAGGGCCTCGTGCCCTCCAGCTCAGCCCTGCATGGGTGGTGGTGGCATTGGCGTTTGGGCTGGGGGCAGTGCCAGGGGCTGGGCTGAGTCTAGCAGGGCCCGCAGGTGTCCCACAGCTTCTTGCTGTAGCGGGGCAAGGCGCAAGGGCTGCAGGCAGGGGAAGCGTAGGGTCTGCCAAAGGTGCAGAGGCCCCCCGAGCCCAGCGTGGCCCCGGCGCCGTAGAGGCCCCCCAGCCCCAGGGAGCCCCCGAAGGCGGGTGCTCCGGAGGAGCCCACCACGGCTTGCTGGGGGAAGGAGCTGAGGATGGGGCCGGGGAAGGTGACGACGACGGGGGGCGGCTGGATGAGGGCCGTCGAGTCAGGGCACTGGCGGGGGCGCACAGCGTTGCAGCTCTCAGCGATGGGCTGGGGGACAGCGACGCTGGTTTTCGGTGGGCACAGGTCGTAGCAAGACATCTTTGCGTGTGATCGGACGGTGCTCTGCAAGAGGGCAGAGGTTGCAAGAGAGCAGCTTAGGGGAGCGTCCGAGGCGCAGGGGCCAGGGCCGGAGCAAGGGGCAAGGGGCAAGGAGGAGAAGCGCTCGCAGACTTACCCTGTTCCCCGAGGAGAAGGCGACCAGAGCAGTGGATGGGAGAGCCTGGCAGAGGCAGAGCTTTTATACTGGCCCCGCCATTGCTCAGCACCACCCCGGCCAA